CCCAAAACCCCAAAACCCCAAAACCCCAAAACCCCAAGTCAATCCTAATAAATTGCTAAAATAATGAAGAGAACCCTCTCCAACCCCCTTTGCCCAAAAATTCTCAACTGCAGACGTCTCAAGCTCAAACGCAAAAGAACTAATCTCACTAAAAACTCCCAAACTCCTCTTTCTTCTACCTCTTCTTCTCAAAATCCCCACAAACCCTTGAAGAAGAGACAACTTAAAGAACAAGCCAAGAAATCTGAAGAGTTGCTAGCGTCCGTGGAGAAGCTAGTTAGCCTACAAGTAGAAGAAAGAGCAATTGTGGCTGTACAGAATAAGGAGGAGAAGATTAGGATGCTAGAGGTGACTGAAGGGATAAAGAATCAGTATTTGGACTGATTTATGATAGCTTCTTTGCAAGCTCTGTTTTCGGTAAGGGAGTTCTTTGAGTATTACTTTGAAGGAGATTTTGGGGAGAAGGGGAGTGGTGGGGAAGGGATGGAGGTTAGTAGAGAGCTTCATCAGGTTTGAAAATAAGTATAAGAGAGCAAGAGGGAAATGTATTAGTGTAAAGAGGTTTAGGAAGTATTTTAATGGGGATTTTGACAATTATAAGCAGCATGATGCTTGACAATTTATATTACATCTTTTTGAAAAATTACAAAAAGAGCACTCTCCTGAGACACCATTTTCCCAATCATCTGGTCATGCTAATAGCATTGAAGCATGGGAATCATACACTGAAGACCTTCACTCAATCATTGACAAACTCTTCGTAGGTATGTCCAAGACCACATTTACCTGCCACTCGTGCTCCAACTCTACCTCAATCTACGAAGAATTCAAAACAATCCCTCTTCAATGAACCTCCACTTTCACCTTCCCTTTCTATGAAACCTCCACCTCCGAATTCAATTGCTCCACTTGTGCTGACATTACCTCTTGCTCCATCACAAATACCATCTCCCACTACCCTTCCTACCTCCTTCTGCCCTTCCAACGCCTCGACCCTTTCATTTCCTCTAAAATAACCAAGTCTCTTCCATTCCCTTCTTCCTTCAGTCCTTCCCCAACCTCCAGCTTAAACTACAGTCTGCTCTCTACTATTAACCACCATGGGTTCAGCTTGGAAGGAGGACATTACACTGCTGCTTGTAGGAGGGGGAAGAGTGGTGAAGAGAAATGGATGCAGTGTGATGATGCACATGTGGAAGAGGGAGAGACGGATGGGGATGAATATGTTTTGCTGTATGGAAGTAGGAGAAAGGGAGGTTAGAGATTGGGTGTTAAGAGGGGATTGTATAAATCCATCATTTAAGGAATTTCAATTATCTTGGAGACGAAGGGGTTTTGGGGTTTTGGGGTTTTGGGG